AATACAAGGTTAGGATTATACTAAGAAATAATATAAAGTCCTAATTACATAATATCTATACAAAAAAGGAAATAAATAAAATCCTAATATACTAGGAAGTAAATCTCCTAATTACATTAGGATCTCACTAACACTCCCCCTCAAGTTGGAGCAAAAATGTCGCACATGCCCAACTTGTCAAGCGAGTTGAGGAAAATACTAGAAGAGACAGCTTTTGTAAGGACATCGGCTAACTGATACTCAGAATTGATGAATGGGAAGGAAACAATCTTCGCATCCAACTTCTCTTTAATGAAATTTCGATCAACCTCCATATGCTTTGTACGATCATGTTGCACCGGGTTATGTGCAATTGCAATTGCAGCCTTATTGTCACAATATAAATCCATGGGCTTCTGTGGCCTAAAACCAAGATATCTTAACAATCTCCTCAACCATAGTAACTCACATACGCCGTGAGCCATCCCACGATACTTGGCCTTGGCATTAGATCGAGACACCACCTTTTGTTTCTTACTTCTCCAAGTAACAAGGTTACCACCAACAAACATGAAATACCCAGACGTAGAACGCAATATCAATGGCTAAACCAGCCCAATCAGCATCAGTGTACCCTTCCACATCTGTATGACCATATTTGGAAAACAACAACCTATTGCCAGGAGTTACTTTCAGATACCTTGAAATACGAGTCACAGCCCCCATATAATCTGCACTAGGAGAGTGCATAAACTGACTCACCATACTTACTGCATATGCAATGTCTGGACGGGTATGAGCCAAATAAATCAACTTCCCCACAAGCCGTTGATAACGTTCTTTATCAGTCGGAACTTGATCAAAATATAACCCCAACTTATGATTATGCTCATTAGGGGTATCAATCGGTTTACAATCCAACATCCCAGTCTCTGCAAGTAAATCCAAAACATACTTTCTTTGGGATAGAAAAATACCATGTTTAGACTTGGCAACTTCAATCCCAAGAAAGTATTTTAAATCACCCAATGATTTCATCTCGAACTCGGAAGCCAGATACTTTTGAAGACTCTATATTTCTACCTGATCATCTCCAGTCACAATCATATCATCGACATAAATAATTAAAGCCGTCAATTTACCTTTATGACGCTTCAGAAACAAAGTATGATCAGAGTTACTTTGCACATACCCAAACTTTTTCATGGATGCAGCAAATCTTCCACACCACGCTCTTGGAAACTGCTTTAATCCATACAACACCCTCCTTAGAGGTCACAGGAATACCGAGAGGAAGATCCATGTAAATCTCTTCCTGGAGGTCACCATGTAGAAATGCATTTTTGACATCAAACTACAATAAGGGCCAATCGTGGTTAGAAGCAAGAGATAAAAGCACACGCACAGTGTTGAGCTTTGCCACTGGAACAAATGTCTCCAAATAATCCATTCCATATGTCTGAGTATACCCCTTGGCTACCAATCTAGCCTTGTAACGATCAATGGAACCATCCGTCTTATGCTTCAAAGTAAACACGCATCTGCATCCAACTGCTTTCTTCCCTTGTGGCAAAGGAACTAAATCCCACATCTTATTCTTGTTCAAGGCATCCATTTCCACATTCATGGCATCCGTCTATTTGGGGTTAGATAGAGCATCCTGCAGCTTAGTTGGCACACATACACTAGATAATTGACACAAATATGATGCATATGACTTAGATAAACGATGAGTTGTCACATAATGGCTAATGGGATATTTAGATTTGGCATGTATATCAGGAGAATATTGTACTTTGGGTTTCCCACGAGTAGTTCGTGGGGGTAATTGATAAGTAGACACAAACAAATCATCAGACATTACCTCACTTGACTCAGTATCACGATTTGACTGGGGCAATGGTAGGGCAGAGGGGGGTCTTGTATCAATCTCATCTACACAAGAGTCCCTAGTATCACTGTCACGTTCTTCTGGGGTAGAGCAAAATTCCTCCAAAAAACCAACCTGCGACCGGTCGTGACCTTTTGTGCGACCAGTCGCTTCCAAGCAGTCATTGTTGTCAGTCATCGGGGCATGCAACCGGTCGTTTCCAAGCAGGTTCTATTGCGATCGGTTGCTTTCTCTACGCGACCAGTCGTTTCCAGGCAGGTTCTATCGCTACCGGTCGCTTCCTCTACGCAACCGGTCGCTTCCTCTACGCGACCGGTCGTTTCCATTTCGTGAGAAATTCCTTCATATGCATCTTCACGTCCAAGATCTTCCACTTCAACACTCTTCAATTCACTCCCCCTCTCCCCCTGAATTGAAGAGGAGGGAGAAACATAATACGATACTTCTTCATGAAAAGTGACATCCAAAGTAACATGTACCTTCTGAGTAGGAGAGTGATAACACTTATAACCCTTCTGAGTAGGAGGGTGATAACACTTATAACCCTTCTAAGTATTAAAATAGCCAATAAAGACGCAGCAGAGAGCACACGGATCAAGTTTACTGAGTTAATGGGAGTAGACATGAACATAAGCAACATACCCAAACACCTTCGGAGGTAACTTAGAGACCGAAACCGGAGAAGTATGGGCACACAACACATCAAGTGGAGTCTTGAAATCAAGAACCCGACTAGGAGTACGATTAATCAAATAGGCCACAGTTAAACACCATGCCCCCAAAGGTGATGGGGAACAGACATGTCCAATAGAAGGGAGCGGGCAACTTCAAGTAACTGACAATTCTTGCGTTCAGACACACCATTTTGCTGAGGAGTGAATGAAGTAGTAGTTTGGTGGATAATGCCTTGATCACGGAAGAAATGGGTCAAGGTATTATTCACATAAAAACCTCCGTTATCAGTCCGAAACACTTTGACTCGAACATGAAACTGAGTAGACACCATGATACAAAATTCAGGAAGAATAGAAGCACCATCATGTTTATTTTTCATCAAATACACCCATGTTAAGCGAGTGCAGTCATCAATAAATGTAACAAACCAACAGAAGCCATTAGAAGTCACACGAGCAGGTCCCCATACATCCGAATGTACTAAATCAAAAGGCTTTGCAGCTTTACTGTCACTCAAAGGAAACACAACACAATGACTCATGGCCAAAATTCATATCTCACACTTAAAACTGGACTTATCACAAGAGCGGAATAAAGATGGAAATAAACGTTTAAGGTAGCCAAATGACGGGTGTCCCAAGCGACGATGCCATAACCAAATTTGTTGTTTGTCTTTGACACCGCAACTTTGAACAGTATTAACGACACGATCACGAACTGGTGCAGAAGGCAATGTCAAATAATATAACCCCCCCTCCTATCCGTTTACCATGTCCAATAGTCTCGTAAGTCTTGAGATCCTGAAAAGAGCAATGTGTATGATAGAAAGTAGCAGAAGCATTAAGTGTATCAAGTAATCGACCAACAGATAACAAGTTACAATGGATATTGGGAACTAATAACGCACGGGACAAAGACAGAGTAGGAGTGAGAGAGATTGTGCCCTCGCTAGTAATTGGAGAGGGCAAGCCATTAGCACTAATTATGTATGGATCATGGGTGTTACTAAACAACTCATCAAACAATTTAGCATCATAAGTCATATGATCAGAAGCACCAATGTCAATTATCCAAGTATTGGAGCCAGTACTTGGAATAGAGTCAAAACCACACAATTTTCCAGAAGAAGCAGCAACAGCACCAACAATGGAGTTATCACCCATGATTGCATTAGAAACTCAATAGATCACGGCAAAGTATACAACTGAACACAACAGAGGCACAAATATGGCAGATGCACGAAGACAGGCACGAGCACAGTAAAGGCATGAACACGACAGAGTACACATCGGAACACAGCAGAGCACAGGAAATACACAAATACGGCAGATGCACGAAGACAGGAATGGCACGAACACAACGACACAACACACAAACCCAGGAGGGCACACAGGGCAAGTAGGAAAAAATATGAGGTTAGAACACGGGTGAGCACAATACACAGGTCACTAGAAAACTAGGCTCTGATACCATGTCAAACAAAGTGGATAGAATATTTTTAGGTATAATTTCATTCTCCGAAAGGAGGTATTTATAATACAAGGTTACAAACCCTAGTAGGATTATACTAGGAAATAATATAAAGTCTTAATTACATAATATCTATACAAAAAAGGAAATAAATAAAATCCTAATATACTAGGAAGTAAATCTCCTAATTACACTAGGATCTCGCTAACATATTCTATTCTAATTAACCCCTCCCCTATAGGCTATAGGCTAGCTCAAGCACAATTAACTTTAATCTCTACGTAGCTTCAAATCAACCTCTCATATATTATATATATTATATTATATATAGATGGAGTTCAAAATCTGACAAGCTCAATAATTCACAGGCCCTACCTGCTATATAAAAAGCCTCATGTTTCTCTCATGGACCTATTATATATTATTTATCATTCAATTTAAATCTTATCGATAAAAAAGTGAAACAAACAAAAAAACAATTTAGCTCTGGCTAGTCACCTTCGGTAGTGGGGGACATAACACCAATTATTGTATTGCTAATTGATGTTTAGGGGAACCCCATTTCGCAGAATTGGATATGACAATGACATGATTTGAATGGATTTTTAGATTTTTTGGACAAAGTAGGAAGGGGAGGCAGTTTTCTCACACACTACCAAAATATTATGGAAATTCAAACCTGAGACCGATTACTTCAAGTTTCCTTTATTAGTTAATTTGATTTCTAGACTTTGGGTTATTAAATTAAAGAGCAAAAAGGCATAATTTTTCGATATACCTTAAAAAATGATTAACAGTATTGCGAGTATTCGAAGCCTCTATTTAGTTTTAGACCAAAGGTGATGTTATTGGCACCCCAAAATTTGCTATTTGCACCCCAATTTCTCTTTACACCTCACTGAATTTTAGTAAAATTTAAAAATACTCAATACACCCCATTTTTTCTTCCTAAATTGCCCTCATGAACCCCATTCCTTAACTTACCTGTGTAAATCTCATCATATATCAAACCCCATTCCAAAACTCCCTCATCTTGTAGACACACTCCATTGCAAACCCCCTAGCGTTTCAAACACACCCCATCGCACACCCCATCCAATTTGCAACAGGCTCTATCACAAACCCCTATCGCAGCCAGACGATCTCACCCTCATCACAAACCCATCTGACCTCAAAATCCTTCAAAAAGCCAAGGTTTGATTTCAATTTTGATTTCTATACTTATGTTTCTGAATGTTAATTAAGCCAAGGTTTGATTTCTATATTTATATTTCTGAGTATTGATTAAGCCAATGTTTGATTGCAATTTTGAAAAGCCAAGGTTTGATTGCAATTTTGATTTTAACTTTGTGGATGTATGGTTCGAACTTGGTTTTATGAAAATAGATGTTACTTTCGATGGGTTACCACCGAAATCTTTGCATTATTTCAATGGTAGTCCACTGAATTTGAACATGGTTTTTATGAAAATAGATGTTACTTTCGATGAGTTACCACCGACATCGTTACCTTGTTTCAATGGTAGTCCATCGAATTTGTTTTCGTTTTTCAGTGGCTGTTCACCGATTGTGTTTTCATTTTTCAGTGGTAGTCCACTGAATCTATTTCAGTTTTTCAGTAGTAATCCACCGAATTTGTTTTTGTTTTTTAGTGGTAATCTACTGAATTCGTTTCTTATTTCAATGATCATATACCAAATTCGTTACTGAGTTCGTACTTAATATTGTTTTTTATATATGAAGATGACTCGCAAGGCTTCATTATCTGGACCTAATACACAGTGTCCCACAGCCTTAACGAGGAAAGATATAGCGGTGAGGTTAGCCCCTCAAGAGGACCAGCCTCAGCATGGTCCCCGAGACCACTTTAAGGATACTATAGAGGTTGAAGATGTAGCTGCTACTCATGATAGTAATGTTGACGCAGAGGTTGAAGATGTGTGTAGCTGCTACTTATGATAGTAATATTGAGGTAGATGTCGAGTTGAGTCATCTCGAGTAGGCCTCATTGATCCATCTTTACTTATGAGTTTTAAAACTTACAAAGCACCTGTAATTTGGAATAACCAGGTAAGTTGTTTTACTGTAACAATATAAGGCAGAACATAAGTCTGGATCATGGTAATTAACCTAAATATTTATTTTTGTATTTGATTAGGAACGTGAGCCTCTTAGGTGCATGTTGAAGACATCTACCCTTCGTGAGTGGAATTGGGAGGCTAATCCAAATAATGGTATATTCAAAGGGTACATTCAGAGGTCTGGATTAGAGCAACTTATTAGGTGTACGTTTTTATCGGAATGCAGATAAGATTGTTGCATTGCATACACGACCTTCCCAAGTTTATCAAGCAGTTGAGGCCTTGCAGCAGATTTTAGAGGGTACAAACATACGGTCTACCATGACATATAAACGTCGTCATGGTTAACTGACTTGCTAGCATGCACTTATTAGAACTCAAGGAACTTTTATTGTTTTGATTAGTTATTGCGTGTTTGTTAAACTCATGGAACTTTGAAACTTTAGAAGTTTAGAACTCATTTTGACCTTTGTGAAGTTTGTCCCACCAAAAAAAAGGAATAAGAAAATAAGTAGAATTATTAAATTTATAATCTCAATTCTGTAGTTGGTGCATTTTTGTTGGTCATTAGGATAATAGTATCTGTAGTAGCTACTTTCTCCACTCTTGGAAGTTGTTGAAACACATCCACATTCTAGAAACTGGTGGAATAGAATGATCTGGAGACAAATAAACCTACAAAACAAGAATTAATTAATATACGCATAACATATAAAATTAAACTATGTAGCGTAAACAAATAAATTCATGCCTGGACATAGTGATCATCATCAACAAAATCAATGACAATCTCATGTAGTTTGGTTTCGCTTGATTGAACTGAGAATGTGAGAAATGTAAGGCATTACGCATGCTTAGAAGGATTAAAACCAAAAATCTCTGGGTGACTAAAATATCTGTGGGTTTCACCAAACTCTTAGATATGTCCACCAACAAGGTATTCTCATCTTCAGAAATTCGCCCCACAAATGAATGACCTTGAAGATACTCTGAAACAACATGGTTATGTACTCCGCAAACCACCTCCTACTTCCAATCATCCCCATCACCAATATTGACACCTTTTAACAAGAATGGGCATCCATATTTCTTGGTACCAATGTCCCTAGCACACTTTTTCGTATCACCATTTGCATCCGACCTTAGATTAGTTGTCTCACTAGACTTGCAAGACTTATAGTTACTGCTCCTCTCACAAGCAAGTATTACTTGAGGTTCCCCCTTGCCTTCACCTCCATAATCAAACATTCTAATTACAATTATAATATTATTCATTTTTCCTTGTGCACGAGCCCATCTAATTAATGCATTATACCATTGAATATCTATATATTAAACTCATCTTATTTAAAGTTAAAATTTGAAACATTAATGTCACGTTAATTATACTAAAAAGGATTTCAGACCCAAGAAAAAAACTCAAAGAATAAGTTGTGAATTGATCACTATAGTCCATTACACATTCTATTCCAACATTATTATCTTCAGTAGGGCCTCACCTTATTTTTGTTCCTTCAATAGGAGTAAGGTCAAACTAGTTTGCATTAAATTTATGGTCGACAATAAATTACTGAAAAATAAATATATTTCGATTCATTGCCACGGAATTGTAGGTAAAAATTCGGTAACACACCAACCAACACCGTTCCATGTTATGGTGGATCTCCACCGTATCTTAAGCTAACGGTCGGTCAAACACAACCGAAATAAGTGCAATGTTTAGGTGGCATCCCATCGAATTTACCTATCGCGTTCGGTACTGGTGTGCTGAACGCAACCAGTGATCATCATGAAATCCTAAACTTGAAAAACACCAAAAAATAAACTCATGCCTCATTCGAAACCTCTCTAACTTCAATCTCACATTTCATGAATAAATACAAGATATTTTTTTACCAATATAATCGTATAAACCTTGTTAGGATTGTAGGAACATTATGGTTTGAGAAAAGAATCTAACTAGAGTTGCATGAATATATATAGGGTATAGTGAGCAAATTTAATTTTTATTTTAAATGTTTTTGGTCCTTAACAGTAATTATATATAAGGGTAAAATAAGTTATTAATATTTAAAATTAGTATGGAGTGCAAAGAGCAAATAATGAGGTGCCAATAAAATCACCATTAGACCAACTTCTTAATGCAAGAATTCAGGAGTAAAATAAAAAAAACTTTTTCCAATCTATGAAAACAATGTAATAGTTATTTTGCATGGTAAGTTAAGTTGGCAAGTAAGATCTTGCCCCCAAAAAAAATTGGCAAGTAAGAAACCCGAAGTAATATAAATAAACACTTGTAGTAGTTTACTTCTTCCAAGGTCCTGATAGGCCCTCAGGCTTTACAAATTGCATATCCTTCCTATTTAAAATTTGCGAATTTCTTTCTTCTCGGTCATAATAGACATTGGGCAAAGAACTTATGCTGCAATCAAAGTATGAAACTTCAGTATTCAATTTACAGTAAAGCTATACATCTTGTAACCAATGTTGCAAATGCATCAACTTCAAAGCAGTAAATATCGGAGCCATATTTAGTAGGGGCAAATTGCCAGGATCACAGAATTCATCTCTCTGAACCATTTCAAAGAATCAAATGATAAAACCTGACAACCATCAATCACCCGAATAGGTAAAGTTGCAAGGATATCCAAACTTCTTAATTGCGCCAAGCTCAAGGAACTAGACCCCAATCCAGATAGGACCGTGTTTCAGAACTTCAGGAATCTACAAACTTGAAATTGTAGAACCCAGTAAAGCATCACCAGTATTAGCTTGTCACACGACAGGAGATGGAAAAGGGTAAGCAAGAAAACATACAGTTTCAGCAAGTTATTACCAGCTAATTTAAGACTTTGCCCCAAAGAATATCTTATAACAGCAGAGTGGAATACCCGCCCAAAATTGCAGTTGGTAGCAAAACCCTTAGTTGATGCTCCTCTGGAAGTTCCCTCTTTTAATTCTTTTTGGGGAATGCTACAAGTCCAATTATTCTAAAATTTCCCCCTCCTCTATGTCGTCATCTGCTAATAAGAATTTCCTGACACTTGAAAGATTTCTTTCTTCTAATTCTTCCTTGGTTAATTCACCTTCCAAATCAAGAAAATCATCAGGATTAATTTCTGCAATTAGATTTGAGTACGTGTCTATTAAGCCTTGATCAAAATCAAAGTCCATTTCTTCAAAAAGCCCTTGTTCCTTAGCATTGGAGTCGGAAAGTGAATCATTGTCAGTTGCCACTGTTGGAGGCAAAGTCCTAGTTAATGAATCATCTGGTGCTTTCTCACACCTGCTTCTGCTGGATATATGAGGCAGGGAACTTGAAGTCTCATGTTTCATGAGATCAAACACCTTAGGATAGCTGTTGTCTTCTTCTATTTCCTCCTCCTTAAAGGGAACACCTCCTGCGCTCGGATAATTTCTTCCATAAGTTTTAAGCTCTGGTTTGCAAAAAGAGGGAGTGGCATTTTTAACCACTTCAAAATCAAGACTGTGCGAAGGGAGAAAAACATAGATTACAGGATATTCCAAAATAACCAAGTTGGTTAACTGCTGCCTTATTGGAACTCTTATGTCCAACTCACAGAAAGGTGACCTGGCGCCCTGTAATGACAGACAAAAGATTATGAGCCAGTATTCTATTATATTTCTGACATAAATAATCCAAAGTATCATCAAAGCAGGTCGATTAGGATTAAAAGCCAACTCTAATTTGACGGAGACACAATGTTTAGCCATCAAACCTACAAGTACAGCCATCTACCATATACAAATTATGCATGTGCACGGGTGTCTCTGTCTATTTACTTTTCCTGCAAGAGACGCGTGTCCAGAAAAACCGAGCTCGTTGCAACTTCAGCACCCATAGCAGGTGGACAAGGGATATGTCACCCCAGAAGATTCAAAAGTGGTAGGAAATTGAAGGAACATCAGCAAAAACGGTACACAATCCATCATAGACACACAATGCAAGGTATAAACGGAAATAATTATGCATGATATCATGAAGTAACATAAACAACGAACCTAAATTATAAATAGGCCAGTCTTGCTGGATATAAAAGCAGTCATGTCACTTACATTCAACCAAAACACAACCAAGACTGCAGTTTTTGCGTTAGGGCCAGAATAAACACCGACTGGTTATCGTTAACTGGGACCAAAGGGTACCCAGCTGGAAAATTATTTTCGGGTTTGGACCTGATATTCTAGATGTTCACAGTAAATTAGTCAAAATCAACTACAAGACAAATTACAAACCTTCGGATATTTACGAATAAAAAGCCTGAGACAATCCAGCTGCTCTTCACAAAATAGCCTCAGCTGATGATTCCATGGACCAGGTTTTAGATGGTTCTCAATTATAGAGCAGAACTTCGTGTTTTCATTTACTCTGCATGAACATCAAAATGCGCCAGTGGTCAAAATACACTACCCAAGCCTGGACTAAGAAATTAAAAAAACACTAGACTGCTCAAAGAGGGAAGTAGCTCACTCATGGTCAGTTAAAACAACATCCGTTGAATGAAATCGCCATTCAATCGTCCAGGAGATGCATTTCTTCCTGAAACAGATCAGACAATCAGAAATAAATATATATTTTAAAAACACAACCTAATGGCTGATTAAATCCTCCTTTTAAAATCTTCAAATCAAAACCTCTTAGAATTCAAGTTTCCTGTACTACTAATGAAGAATCATAAGAAAAGTCAGTCAACATGTATGGTTCAGGCATGCATCATCTCCTTTCAATTTTTGTAATCCCTGTCATTTAAAAAAAAATTAACAGATCTGAAAGATTGGTTTTTTAAAGAAAAAACAGAGAGAGAGAGAGAGAAGAGAGAGAGAGAGAGAGAGACAGAGAGAAGAGAGAAGAGAGAGAGAGAGAGACAGAGAGAGAGAGAACAATCTCATTAGATATCGTACTTCAAATATAAACGAGAGTTTACAACTTGACTACTTATTGCATCATATCGCAATGAAATTATGCAAACATGTCAGAGCACTTGACTCTAATCTAACTAAAAGGAAGTATCTCAAAGCATATGTAGGACCACGGAATAATCCATCCCCATATCAATCTAAAGTGGAGAGCTTTGAGAAATTTTACCTTTGGTCATATCGAGTTTGATTTTTCTCCCTTTTTGACATTCCACTTGGTAGAAACAAGAGTTTCGTTCTGCGACTGGAGGCAGCACTCCTGAGACTTTTAAGGTGATTGGGTAGCCTATAATAATTATATCTGCATAATTTATTTCTCAATCTCTGAGCAGATTCAGAAACCCTCTTCACTTCCTCAAGCAAATTGTAGTCTAAATACAGAATTTTCAATACAAATGCAATGGTTAAAATATGCAAGAACGAAGGAGCAAACTTCAATAAGCAAACTAAAGACAGTTGTTGAGATTTAAAGAAAACAATACAGTATGTTAAACAAGCAAAAGGGTATTTAAATCAATCCCACGAAAGAATATAAGACAACAAAAGAATGAATTCGATCGTTTAGTATCCCATACGTTATTTATCTTCAAACCTCCTAACAAGGTACTCAAAGCTTATGCAAACAACATGGCAAAATTACCAAGAAAACTTGTACTTTATCCATGAAAAATTACAAGTGAAAGAACAAGCACTAAAGTTAACGAAAAGAGGTCAAATTTTCTTAACCAAATGAACTCCCACAGCTAGAAACAATTGTGAACCAAACAATAAGTATTCACTTCTCGGTGAGACATTCTCAAGCAGACTATGATCTACCAGTCAAAAATTCCAACGAAACTACAAAGGGGACTGAGTTTAAAATCCAAATTTCAATTTTTCGTGTGGGAAAAAACAACTCGCAGAGATAATTACTTCTCTAACATAGAATAAATTTGAAAAGAGGAAAGGTACCAGAAAGGAGCTGATTATTGTCAATCTGAGAGAGCGGGACGAAGTTGGTTTGGTTCCTCTTGCCCGTACAACCAGTGCGAAGCTTGTGAGCTTTTACGCAGGGTAGGCCACAGGAACGTATGGAGCAACCTGGACATTTGTACTTCGATGGGTTCGCTTTGCACTCTTCGCATACTTGGGCGACTGTGGGGTTTGGTTTTGCAGAACCTGCTTCTCCTCCTTCCTCCATATTCAGTTCTTCACTCACTGATGCAGAGGTTTGGGGAGAGACACTAGGGTTTATGACGAAGAGAGCTACGGCGTCGTTTTGGAAGATTATTGCTCAATAAATACTTTGTTTTATCAGGACTCCGGAGTAACTCAATTTTGGTTTTTTATCTCATAAATGGTCTTTGTATTTTGAACCAAAAAATGAAGAATGATCTTTGTATTATTAAACTGGGTTAATGACCTAAATGGTCCCCCAATTATTGCCCTATTATCATTTTGGTTCACAAACTAAAAGTTTCAATTCAAATGTCCTTAAACTTTTTATTTTATACCAAGATGATCCATCCGTCAAAGTCTGTGTATTATTCTGTGAAATCGAGGGACAAAACTGTATTTTTAGGTGAGTATCCTCCTCTAAAAGGGTTATTGATCCTAATGGGCCCCCAACTATTGCTCTAGTATCATTTTGGTCCACTGACTAAAATTTTCATTTGAACCGTCCTTCAACTCTTTCTTTTTTGTATCAAGATGGTCCTATTGTTAAAGTCTGTCAATTTTATTGTTAAATTGAAGGGTAAAAATGTATCTATGAATTAAAATAGTAATATATAATTAAAAATTAAAGGAAACTATTATAAAACTTTAAAAAAATTTAAAAATTGAATATTACCAGCCATATGGCTTTTTTTTTTTTCGTGAGACTAACCTAACAATTAATAATAAAAAATTCTCTATTGTATAAATTAATTAAAATCACATAAATATAAAAATAAAATAACAATTTTTTTTAAAAGAGTAAACAATAATTAAAAATTAAAGGAAACTATTATAGGAACTTGTACCTAATTTTAAAATTGAAAAAATTGAATCTCACCACCAACATGGCTTTTTTTTGCTGACATGGACTTAAAAAGTAATAATTTTTTTCTCTATTGTTTAAATTAATTAAAAAATTTAAAATCAGATAAATACAAAAATAAATAACAATAAAATTGACGGACTTTGACGGTAGTACCATTTTAATACAAAAAAAAAAGAGTTGAAGAATGGTTCAAATGAAAATTTTAGTTGGTGGACCAAAATGATACTAGAGCAATAGTTGGGGGACCGGAGGTATTTTGGTTTTGAACGATAGAGCTTCTCAAAAAGTCGCATATACCCTTCAAAACTCAGTCACGTGGCCATTGTGTGATCAGAAGTAACGGAATCTGTAACGGATGGACCATCTTGGTATAAAATAAAAAGTTTAAGGACGTTTGAATTGAAAATTTTAGTTGGTGGACCAAAATGATAATGGGGCAATAGTTTGGGGACCATTTAGGTCATTAAACTTGATTTTGGTCTATTTCCACTAGTTAGACCATGTCATGGTAGTTTGAACCTAAGACCTCTGGTCTACAAATCAAGGTTATTTTCCACTAGACTAGACCATGTTGACTTGGTCCAATATTTTCTAAACCTGATCAATATGTCCATATTTTCTAAACTTGATCAATATCATCCTCGTACTCTTACTGTGCACATCAATATTATTCCCGACATTAATTTTATCTAATTTTTTTTTGTTAAAATTAAGAGCATTATCACCAAATTAGTTCATTTATATTATAAAATTAGCAATTTCGACCTCCACCGACACAACACCAATCCTCATATGACAAAAATTTGAATGAAATTGACATGATAATTACACATGCGAGATAAAAAGATGGGGATGACATTGATCGAATTTGAAGAAGGGACCAAAATGATGATCGTGTAAAATAATGCAGTTACTTGAGATTGTTGTTCTGTGATGATTGATGTGAATGTAGTTACATTTGTTGGCCATGTAGAAATTCCAAAGAAGGCATGTAAGAGCATCTCCAGCGCAGCAACAGAACCGAGCAAAAGGCCTCCCTCGCAAGCCCAAGGCAGCTCCAGCGCTGCAGCCTGCAGTCTGGTTTGGCGTGGGTCCCACCAGCCCGGGCAAGCCCAAGGGCAAGTTTCGCCTGGGCATCAACCCGAGGGTTGTGATGTCAGTGCTGACGTCACGATGACGTTAGCGAGCAAAAAAATATTTAAAAAATCCAAAAAAATTTCAATTTTTTTTTTTAAATACCAAAAAATTATAGATGCTTTCCCTATAAATACATAACAATTTTATTCACTTTCTAAATTGTTTATATTTTGTTGCATAATATTTTTTTCCTTTCTTGCCTTAGACTTGCCCTAGACTTAGCCCTCATGGGTGGAACCACAAATGGCAAGGCTGACACTATTCATGTGAATAGTGGCAGCCCTTGCTTGCCCTTGCCCTAGACTTAGCCCTTATGGGTGGACATGCTCTAAGATTCAAGTGTCGATGAGGTGACTACCTCTAGAAATGTAGTTAAAGTCTTTTTGTAACCACTAAAAACTCCAACCCACAATGTTGAAAAGTTCTTCCATCGCCAATGCTTACAATTGATGCTACCCAAAATATTGGAAAAAAAACTCAATTTCCCCGTTTTGTAAATTTATGCAAAAGTCTATGGAAGTCCGTCGATTTTAGTGAGAGAAGGCATTCCCTCTTGTAGATAGTTTCAACTACGTCACATTGATCTTCATATGAGTTGTACGCAGGGATCATCATTTGGCCCTAAGCCCATAGATCAAAGTAGGTAGCTCAAGGCCTGATGGACCAAAGCCCAACCTGACCCTATTTTTAGGCCCGCTCTTGATTTGGGTAAGCCTTGAGCTTAGGATTTGAAAACCTCGGCCTGCACCGGCCCATCTAGGACCTTTTTAAAAAAAAAAAAATTATTTATCCCCAACCTTATATTTTTAGGACCTTTCCTATTGAGAGAGGTGGTAATATACTAAACTCACACACTACACAGATACTAGGACTCAAACCCAGGACCTTGCCTAGGGGAGAAATTGCTCCAAACCACTACACTAGTGGGTCCTTTGTTACCTTATTTTAGACTTAATCAAACTAATCTAATATATAGGATCAATTAATAAACTTCGTATTTTGTTTACACATGTTATGAATTAAGTTAATTTGTTCAATATTGTCTCAAAATTTATAACAAAAACTTACAAAAGACATTGAACTATAACTCCGCATCCAAGTGCACTCCCAAACCTTATTTTATACTTAATTAAAATAATGTAATACGTAGAATGAATTAATAAAATTCTTATTTTGTTTTACACATGTTATGAATTAAGTTAATATTTTTAATGTTGTCTAAAAAATTATAATAAAAAGTTATAAAAATTTATATATAGTTATATGTGAACTAATATTGCAGCAACTTCTTAAGAAGTTGTGATTTTTCATGGAAGTTGGGGGCCACGGGCATAGCAGGCCTACATGTGGCTCCGCCTTATGGTGAGGAGGAAGTAAGAGAAAACATCAAATCTTTCTTCCCAAGGCAAGCTAAAATCGGTCCCAAGAGAAGTGTTGCTAACACCACATACTTGTCTTGTGTATCATCTTCATTCCAAAAAGAAGGCGTGGTGTGGAGACTTTGGAGGTCACTACTTTGTGGCTTGGAGGAGAAGTAGAAAGTGGATCATACCACCATCACTTGGTGGAATACTTGAGTTGGACTCAAGTTGCGCTCCAAGGGTGAGTTTCTATCTACCTTCCTCTCTTTAATTTCAAGTATGGTAGTTTGGAATGCACATCAACTCTTTGAACCTTAAGATCCTTTGAAAGGTTTTGTTTTAGGCTCTAGGATTTTGTTTAAAGTCTAATGTTGCCTATCAAATGAATTTTTGATAACCTAGATGTCTAAATAAACCTTGTTTTTGAGAAAAACACAGTATATCCTTCACTTTGGATGGGGATTGTCCTTGGATCCTATCGGAAAAAAATAAATCTTTGATTTTCGGGCTCTTCTCCCCCCCTCCTGTTATGTTGTAGAGAGTTTTTCCCCTCCAACTTTTGTGTTGGATTTTTTCTTGTCCTTGCTTTTGGCAAGGTTTTTGGGTTCTCCCTAGTTTGTTCTAGGGTTTGTTTCACTGGCTCTTGTGCCAATTCTTTCCCATTTCCTCCCTTTATTGGGTGATTATCTCTTGGTTTTATCTTCTTGTTCCTTAGATCTGACTTGGATCTCTACAGATATGCTTTTATTTATTGGAGATCCTACTAGATCTGAAGCATATATACTACTATTCCAAGGGATTTTTTTTGTTTTGAGGATTGGGGTTTTATGGAGAAGAAGCCTTTTGCTAGATTCTAGTTGGCACTGATAATTTTTGTTGTAATTACTCTACATTTTATCTTTGTATGCGATTCTAGTGAGGTGGATGTATTGTGTGTTTTTGTTGGTTCATTTATTCTGGCCTTTGTGCTTATTGTTTAATTTTAGTTTGATTGTGACCCACCTGATTTAGGGCTTTTATTAAACGATAACAAATTAAGAAGCAGGACCACTGATCCAATATCCTCCAGCCAACTCGAAAAGAGTCAAACTCATACCGGCTAAACCCATAGTGTCGTACCAACAAGTCTTTTTTTATTAAGGATAAAGGAATGATTTTTATTTGTTGGAACCACATAATTTTTTATTTCTTATGCCTTAATAAACGTAGAGAAAGTGAGAAATTGGAATAATTGCAAGACCCATGTGTTAATAAATAAACACACACAAAACAAGAGATCATTCCAATATCCATTTGCGATAAATAAACATGCTCACAATAAACTAGAATCAACCAATTTTAAAAAAACTACAGTAATACCAAACTACCCCTAGAAGTGTTTTTTATTTTTATTATTTTTTAATCGAAGTTTTAGAACTTAGCAGAAAAGTCTCACGGTAACCCCACCGAAAGCACAAGACCATCTTACGCGTATGGAACATCACTACATCCAAACCGTCGATTCCCAAAACTGAAATTTATCAATGGTATATGATTTAGACTGAGTCCTACAGCAAAAGCAGACAATCTAACCCAGGCACAAGGGGCTGCTATTTTGCATTACACCACCCCCACCACCTTGATTTCTCTCTCCAATCTCCACCCATTTTTTCCCATTTACTTTGATTATTATATTACAATCTTGATGTCTTTTTCTTTGAATTATATAAGAAATTGGACAAAAGGCTCTTTCAGAGAGATACAGAGTCTGGATCAGCAC